TTGGATCTCAAAGGTGTCGACCCTCAAACTCAAGAGTGAATTTTGACACTGCCTGTGCAAGCTTTGCCTGGAAAAAAAGGTTCTTTGTCAGAAGATGCTACGGAAAAGAAGTGCTGAATCTGGTACGGTTGCCGTCATGACAACAGAAGAATAGCATAACGCAAACATGCCAGAACACTGCGCAGAAGATGCGACACCTTGCTTTGAAGCACCATGCCTTCGTCACAAGGCACGTGCAGTGAGACGACGGGCTGTGGCTGCATAGAGTGGCCGTCCAGGCACAAGCTGCACTTGCCAAATCTGGTCATAGAGTGCAGAGGCTTCATGGCGCGCAGCTAAGGCTGTTTCAATCACCCAGCGCAGAGCACTGGGTTGTGTGCAAGTAATTACCCCGACGAATAATGCATGGTCTGGGAGCGAAGAGCACCACGAGCCATACCGACGTTGAGCCTCCTCGGGTTTGTCTCTTTCTCTCTACGTCACTCCTATATAATGGCGATGGCCTCCAACCTGATAGTGATGGCCTTCAACCTACTAGCGAGGTCACAAAAAGATCCCGTATGTCATGGCATAATTGTCAAGTTGACAAACAGGAATTTGATGCTGAGTGCTCGAGGGGAGAATGTAACTGCTAGGGTCCAACTCCTGAAGCTGAGATCTTTGGGATTGGAGGCTTGCATGTTTTCATTTATTATGCTAGATGCTTGGCGAGTTCCGGCAGGCCTGATTCTGCTTGGGACCAAAGTTTGTGCATAGTCCGGTCAGCAAAGCTGTCCCACTGTTCCTTAGAGTTTGCCTTCGATCTTTGATATCTCGTGTCTTGCAGCAGTATGCAGACATTGGTGTGATCGAATTGGACTGAAGACTGGATCTTCAAGGGAGTTCCAGCTCACAGCGGGACCGCGAACGCACAAGACAACAGGGAAGAAACGGGTTGTGAGGAGCTGACTGCTGCCACAAGGACACATATAAACCAAATGCATGACTTGCACTGCAAGCTTTGCTTAGAGCCGTCAATGAGGTGCGTCATGCCGAACTCACGAGATGTGGACTACCCGGCTAGGTTTCCAAAGAAAGGAATGACTCTTGCCAACGGAGTCGCCGCTGAAACGGCTCGGAGCGACTGGTCGCTGTGAGGTTGAGAGATTGGCAAATGTTTTGTCAGCAAAAACAATTATCTATCTGTATATTACTATATATTGCAGCCGCAGCCCAAACTCTCGTTCTCTCTGTGTACGTACTGTAATTGAGAGTGTCTTTCCTCTCTCTTTCTCTTTCTCTTTCTCTTTCTCTCTCTCTCTCTCTTTCTTTGTTCTTCCCTTTCATGTAATATAGCCCTAGCCCCAGCCCGACTGAACATGTTGATGGCAGGAAACGGTGTTTGAGATTGTGCCGGCCTCAGTTGCAGCTTGCACGTCAAGATAGATATGATATACAATTTGCTAGGGAACACATAAGGTTATAGACAAACCCCTGGCAGCGTGAAATGGGGTGAGGGAGGGAGAGAGGGGGAGGGGAGCAGAAAGTGGAACAGAACGAGGTAAAGACATGTTAAGACGATGAGAGAAGGGAATTCAGCGGGAAGAACACATCAGATAAGAGGGAATTGTGTAGAGAACAGGCAAATATATTATATATGTTACATTATGTTGATATTATGTGTTGTCAATCTTGATATTATGTGTTGTCAATTCTTATTGTCAGATGTGTCATTGAAAGCCGAAGAAACAGCAAAGCAAGCATGGCATGCAAGACGCTGTTCGTGGTGCCTTCAGCGGCGTGGGACCCAAAGGCTCGCCATGTAAACGGGTCCGTTGGACCACCCAAGCGGCTTCAGCTCGGGCGCATGTCTCTCAGTTTGGACGTCTCTGAGTGTCAGTGTTCTGTCCTTTCTTGTTTCTGTTTTTTTGATGTCTCTCAGTGTGTGTCTTATATGCTTTCTTCTTGTGCCATAGGATCCCTACAGTACCCCATAAAGTGGAAGGGCTGTTAGCGAGACGTGGACGTGATCGCAAGTTTGTGTGTGTGATGTCTCTCAGTGTTTTTTTAACAATTAACAATGGGTTTTGTTGTTTTTCTCTGGCCGAGGTCGGTCCTGGGCACTGCTAGGGCGAAGGTCAGCAGACTGAGTTTCAGCGGAAAGTCTCAGAATGTTCTAGACCAGAAATGTCCGGAATGTCTGATCTTCCCTGACCAACTGTCATGATCGAGCAGTGAGTGATTGCCACTGCCAGGCTACATGAGGCACAGGCGGCAGAAGCTAGAAGAGCTGGCGTGCCTGAGTTGAGACTCTCAGGGGGCTCAGGGGTCACTTCGATGTTTGCTTTGCTGTAACACATTGATCAAAATTGTATGAGTAAAGGCCAAGTGAACAGATGTCTTGGGCTAGTTGGAGATATTAACCATTAATGATCATGAGTTGGTCCTCGAAAAAGCTTGCGATGTACACCAAATTGAAAGGGTGTTTCAGTGGTCTCGTCGCCTGGCACCGGCGCAACTGCATTTAGGATAACAAAGTCCAGGAAACGGTGATTCAGAGAGAAGTAGCAGGTGAGTATGTGCATCATGTAGCGCATGACCAGGACTTACTGCAGTTGAACCAAGGCCACGTACTAGGCTGGTCTCGAGATTCTGTGTCAGGTACTTCTTCCCTGACATCAGATGGCCGACTGGAACAACATACCCAGACCCGAAATTTGTTTGGCTACCAGTGGCCCAAAGCCACAGTTAGTGGCTTGCATCACACATCGCGAGAAACCACTGAGCGTGAGAGCTTCCTCGCAGTGGCACTTCACGTAGCAGCAAACACTACTATGTACACATCACGCCACCAATATGACACGTCGCGTCACCAAATTACACGTCGAAGCATGTCACGGCCTGACAACACATCACTTCGTCACACTGCAGCTCACAGATCACCACATTGCACATCGCATTTGAACATCAGAAATAACTGTGGAGATTTCTTTTGAAACCATCAAGAGCTATCAATACTGATTATAGTTATAGTTATATTAATATATAATTAGTTTGAGTTGATGGGCTGCCGTTTGCTCAGATTGGTCGCGAATCCCACTCAAGGCCTGACATCGGCCTTGCTTGCCCATTGTCGCCGCGCAGCCTAGTTTGGAGAGCAATTCAGATTATGATTCTTTAAATGTTTCCCCCCACTCCAAGAAATGGAATCATATGTTGCCAACTAAAAGCAGCAGCATTAATTCTATCGGCGTGTCATCGTTGCTCCAATGCAATCCTTTGAGCATTCTGCCTGATGAAAGATTTGCGGGAAATGGGAGGTCAAAAGCGCACGCTCTTGTCTTGCAGAATTGGATCGGGAAGATATTTCTTCAGGAGATCAACAGCACCGGTAGTGGTGAGTACTGCAAAGGAAGACGCTACGACATGTTTCAACAATGTTACACAATGTGCACGAGTGTGTTCAATAGTAGAGAAGTAGTCTAGCAGGAGGACAACTCCTTAGGTGAGATTGTGGGACATGCTGCAAGCCACTCACAGTCGCTCACAATCTGCCTCAAGAATGCGCGGCAGGACCTTGGCTCTGCACATGGTACCTTCATGGGTGGTGTGCGGCTGAAACCGCACGAGCAGCCTGGCAGGAATCAACGCCAGCGGCGCGGTTTTCAGAAGTAGGATAAGAAGCTCATTCGAGATTCTTGACGAGGTGACTTCGGCGTCTTTCTCCAGTCAACCCTTCTAATACTTCTGCACTATGCTATATTGCCAAGGCTGGACTCGCAGAACTTAAATTGAAACTGAGGCCTGTGGAATGGATGCCTGGAGTGCAGGCGGGGCCGGCTTCTTTTGATGGCATTATTGGAGTCATTGGGATGGTCACTTAGCAAATGTAACATGTTATTCGTAGGTGGGAGTGCATGCGAGGAAAGCTGTGGTGATGGGGGGTACCTTGGGAAAAGAATCCAGGGTACCAACTAGGTTCCCGGATTCTTTTTCGTGGATTCATTTTTTTGGATTCTTTTTGTACCAAGGGTATGGTCAGGGTATGTCGGGGGTATGGTCGGATTCTTTTTTGAATGTCGCAGGATTGTAGAGTATGTCATACATGCACATTGAAACTACATATTTTTCAATGGCCCCCAACCTAAGAGAAATGGCCTCCAACATCCTTCAACATCCTTCAACCTAACAGGGACGGCCTCCAACCTAAAACGGATGAAGAAGCTGGAGCTGCGCATCCAGATATTTGACGATTCTTTTTGATATTTAAAGATTCCAAATGTTAACCCACATCCAGATTCTTTTTGAGTACATATGTGCAGCCATGTCAGAATCTTTTGGAAAAGAATCGGATGGGTCTGTAGGGGGGGGGTATCTAAGGCCCCTCCCATCTGTGGTGTAGAGTGTCTCCTTTCACAGCCCTTTTACAGCCCCATTGTTTCATGCTATTTTAATAGTAGTGTAGCATACAGTAGTTAAAGAGCCAAAAGAACATTATATAATGAACAACAATTGTAGCAGGCAAGACTTCTCGTGAACTATGCAGGTGTACTTCGCAGACGCCCAGCTGGAGTTCTTCGAGCTTCGTGCAAGCTGAATTCTTGGCTTGGCGTTTGCAGGAAAAAAACGGTTCCTTTGCATGTGCCATTGTTTTGCGATACCACTGCATTGCTGGCACTAACTTGGGCACACCATCAAGGTACAGTTTCAAGAGAGAACTTGCTTATATTACTGAATTTTCTCTCTCTCTCTCTCGTTGTGTATGTGTATATATAAACTGTATACATATATATATATATGTTCATGCATCCATTAATCTTTGGTCATGTAGCCGTAGCCACATCTAGAAAGCACATTCTGGCCGACAATTTGTGAGCTGCTTCAGGGTTCAAGCATGCTCAAGGGAACTAGTCCCAAAGGTTGCCAAAGGCACATGACTAGCCTCAAAAATAATCAATCCACAGGCCATAAGATTAGGCTTAGAGGCTAAAATATGCGGGGCAAGACATGAAAGATATGAAGGTACATAGGGCCTTCGATGTTTGACCTGATGTGGGATGGCTATCGGCAGCCGCAGCGACGCTGTAGACGCTTCCGACTTGGACCTCAAAGAACTCGCACTAGAAGGGTTGAAGGTGGCCAGAACGAGCTTTTATGCGCTGCCAACCACTGGCCTTCAGTAGTCATTTATCTCACGCTTAGTTTCATCCACAACCCTTGGTTGCAGGTACTCAGAGCCAGCCCGGCTTATGCAGTGGCTCGATCCCTTGAACTCTGGCGGCAACAGGAGGAAGATCGAGCATGCACCCGCCTGCAAGAGAAAGAAAGTTACTTGGCTGCGCCAAAGTCAATTTTCGGGCTTCATCCATAAATGGGGCTTTGCAGATCAATACAATTGACCTCTCGCTAGCCGCTGGCTAGTGGGTGCAGAAGATCCTTGACATTTGGTGACCAAATCATGTCATGGTTCGAGGGGAGCTCCGCGAGCGCCTGGAGGATGAGTACCGGCAGCGGGAGCTGCTTCGGGCCCAAAGCTTCCGACAGCAACAGAGCGAGCTGCGAGACTTGGAGCAGCGTGCGAAGAAGAAACTCATGGAAATGCAGCATCGGGAGCAGGCCATGGCACTCTACCATGTTTTGACATTGTTTGGCATGTATTCAAAACCGTTACGGCCGGCCATGAATGGTTATCATATGTGGTGGGCACCGAGTTGAGATATTGACATGCTACTGCCAAGGCTGGCACATGGATAAGAGACACCCCATGCTTTCTCGAAATAATCCACCAAATTAGTTCAAGGCTGATACTCTCAAAGCAAAATTATGATATCAATTGTGTAGGCCAAAAACCCGAGCCGGCCCCGAGCCAAAATCAGGCTGTTAAGGCCTCTTTGGCCAAGGCCAAAAGCCTCAGCGAAGAATCACGGCGCAGTGCTGACCTTGCCATTCAAAGCTGTGAGGATACCATGCGCCGTCACAAGGCCGGAAAAGAAGAGACGCAAACAGATTACAACAGCATCGAGGCGAACTGTAGGACCTTTCAACTATTAGTTGTGCATAGTTATGCGACGTGAGGGCCGTGAGAACAGCAGTGCTGAATACCCTGGGTTCCAAGAAATTGCGACAAATTGCGCGTTTTGCCCGCCACTAGTCCCAAGGGTTCTGTGTCAGTTGTGCAGTGAGTGTGTCGGACATGTAGAACTAGAGATCGCCAGGGTAACCTCCGGCAGAGAAACTGTAGGACAATTATTGTGTTTGAATGGATTTGACTAGTATTTACAAGTGCCTCGCTAGTAGTAACAAGTGCCTTACTAGTAGTAACAGGTGCCTTACTAGTAGTAACAAGAAGCTATGTCGTGAAGTGCACGGCGGTTTTCATGATCGAAACATTTGTGGTGCCTTTGTGGTGCCTTGTGAACAGCAGCGCGGCGAAATGTGGCAGGTTGTGATGTGATGAGGTGTGTGTTGCAGTGGTGAAGCGATGTGGCACAGTGTGGTGTGCCAGTGTGCCGATTGTCAACTTTTGGCACTTATCTGTTCTGGGGACAATTCTTTAGAATATGCGGATGATTGGGGTGAGCCAACACAAAGCAAAACCCTCAAAGGAATGCAAACCAAGCAAAGCAATGTAGATGCAAGTAAAGCGGGCTTTTCGCGATTCGCGCATATGTGGCTGCAGGGTCCACAAGCTAGTAGCGATCGGTCCGAATGTCACGACAAGCGACCAACACATGCAAACCATCTTTCCTCACATTGGAGGGAGAAAGTGTTGGCGTGACATGTTTCTGCATTCGGGCCTTCCGTCGTTCGCGCTGAGCACGTCTCAAAGCAGCACGATGGTTCTCCAACTTTTGCTTTCTGGAGTCTCCTTCAAAGAAATCGTGCCGCCCTGTCAAACAACTCCCCGGACATATCAGACATTTGCTTTATCAATGGGTCCGCAAATTGATGAAAAGTGGGGACCCATGAACCCATGCAATGCCCATCAAAGCTGATTCGATCAGCTGCTTGGCTGCCAAGATGTCTATCATTGCAGTGCGAAGCAGGTGGTCGTACAATGCCTGTGCATCCGTCACCAACGTCCCAGGCACCTTCAAAGACTCCTTCCATTCATTGGTCATGGAAGGAGGACAAAACCGCAAAGCTTCACAAAGAAGTCGGAGGTACAGCTGTTCGTCAGCTGCTGCACACAAAACGTTTCCTTCGGCAGCTAAACTTGATTTGACAACTCTGGAAATCTTGCTGCTCTTGAAAAGAACGATGTTTGCACGAGATGGCCCTGACAATGCGGCTTCTGTTGAAATGAAATGCACATGACCAAGTTGGCCTCGAGAATTGGAACCGCTTTTCCCCAGAGATGCATCGAAACAACAAAATCATTTGTGGATCACTCTTCAATGGGTAGTAGCGCACATCCATCATGCCCTTTTTGGACATGTCTTTGTATTCATCAAAAAGCTTGTTTGCATAACGGGCGTCTTGCTGGTTTGCTAAAGTGATCTTCTGAGCGAGTGCACTGACCTGGAAAAGTTCCTCAGGAAGGAATGCTGAGCCGAGCCGGCCACCGAAGTTGCATGATCAACCTTCGAAAAGCAGTCTTTTGGCGGTCGCTCCAAGGTGCTGTCCCCTTTTGGACTTCCATAGGCTCAATGCGCTTCACATACTCATCCATTTAATCCACAATGCAACCATCACACCAGCAAACCTGGCAGCCCAAAAAGTCTGACGGTTCAGGTCCAAGCTGCTGCCACTCCTTTATGTTGAATTGCTGATTGATGTCCCGAATCAACTGTTGAAACAGCTGTGAACTCGGACTTCCAGCAATCAAACCATCATCAACGTGCAATGCACATACTGAGACGGTACTGTTTTCATGAAGCAAAGAATTTGCGTAAGAAAAAGAATAGCACCTAGACCTAGACTTTGCTGGTGGTTATCTCGTTTCGCATGACCTTGTACCGTCGTGCCATTTTGGCCTCAAGCCATTCAGGAAGGATGTTCTTAGAATGTTTGTTGACGACATTCTTCCTACTCGGTGCCCTCGTTGGCTCCTTCCTTACTTGGTTGTTTTCATTGCCGGCTCCTGCTCCTTCGGTGCCGCCGAGTCTGGGGTTGGGTCCTGTGCTGGCCCCATCCTCCTTCGCTGCTTTGACCACGTGATTGGCAGCGATGAACCTCCTCCCTGCCGAACTCGCAGGTTGGACGACTCTCAACGACTTTCGGCAGTGGAGCTCGCTACGCGAGGAGGTTTGGCAGTGTGTAAATCACACCTTCGGGGAGATTCAGCAGGTGCGGCACATGGCGAGTTTGCCGGCAAGTGTGTTGAAGCATGCCATGGGCGCCACGCGAGTCCCTGTAGCTGGAGCACCAGACGCTCGACCACTCACAGCTGCAGAGATGCTCATGTTGGTATTCTTTTGGAGAGCGTGCTGCAAAGCAGTGGGCTTGACGGACCTGGATCCCGCTGATGGACACAGCTGCAGCTGCCCCAGAGCTTGGGCCGGCCACTCCGACGAAGGCTGGAAAACGAGTCAAGAGTGCTGCAATCATCGACCAGTTGGACGAGACGGAGGTCGAGCCCCTCACCAGGACCGAACTGGACAGGGCATATGCATGCCATGTCGAAGTCACCGGCGCCGAGCCGACACACAAGGCCGAGCCTACGGCCGAGCAATTGGCTGCATTGAGGGGCAAGATTGTGAAGAGGGGCGAGGCCCCGTATGCCGACTTCTCCATATTCACTCCATATGGAAGAAGGGTTCAGCGCCAGATGCGCACTCGCTCGTACGTCTTCCAGCCCGACGGAAGCTTCAAAACAACAGAGATCCCTGGGCCATCGTCCTTTCAGGCATGGACAGCCTGCTGGCGGGTCTTCAAGGCAGCGCTGTACATGCTCAGGGGGACAGCCGGAGAAGATGGTCGTGACAGCGGCCGTCATGGAGGAGTACTTCGACCACATCGCAAAGCTCAACGAGGAGTTCCCGGAGGCATGGCATTTGTGATCATGCAGGCGGAGGATCGTTGCAGGGGCGAGGTCTTCGAGCGCTACCGCCGCCAGCTTTCGAAGAAGGCAAGCTGCCGATGGGCCTGGACTTCAACCCCACCCAGCCTTGGGTAGGGGTCTTTGCCTATGCTGCTCAAGACACCGAATACTGGGGCCGCCATGTGGTCAGGCCAGCTCACACCTTCTTGGCACGAGGAGGGAAGAACATGACGAACAGGAGTGCAGAGGACATCAACGTCTCAGAGGATGCAAGAGCGGCTTTGGCAGGGGTGGCTGGCAGTGTTGGCTCCTACCATTGGGACCCACAACGCCGCAGGAGAGATTCCAAGAACAGGGACAGCCCTCAGAACAAAGAAACGAAGAGCGAGGCCAAGACCGAGAAGGCAGAGCCGCAGACGGTGAAGAGCGAGCGCCCGAAGAAATGGGGAACCCACTACATCACGCACTACGACGGCAACGAGATCTGCTTCAAGTTCGCAAAGGGAAAGGTTGGGGACTGTGGCGGACCCTGCAGTCAAGGTCGGGTTCATCGCTGTCAGCATTGCCTGGGCTCTCACGTGAACGATATTGAACGATCAATGCCCAGTTCATGTCAAGCAGAACCCAAAGGGGGCTGGCAAGAAGAAATCCCAGAAATGATCCGACTCAGAGGACAAGCTGAACGTGAAGACACCCTCGCTGCCCGACCGTACAGGGAAGTGGGAACAGCTGCCAGCTCAAGCAAACCAACGTCACGGGCAGGCAAGAGTCCAATCAGGTGAAACCACAGTCCCCGACAGTCAAGAAGAAGTTCAACTTCTTGGAACTCTATGCAGGCTTCAAAGGGTTCAGCAAAGCTGTGACCGAGGTCAATGGAGATCAAGTACATGTGCTGAAGCCACTGGAGCTCTACGACGGGTGGGACATCTCACCGCGGAGGGCCTCAGCCAGGCCAGAACACTGGCCAAGGAAGCAGACCACATTCATGTGGCCATCCCTTGCAGAAGCTTCACAAGAGCCAGAAGATATCCCCACCCCCTATCTCTACAAAACCGGGGGGGGCCTGTCTAAATGTAAGCTACATGTTTCAAGATTTTTTTGGGGGGAGGGGGGGGGTCTAAAAAATGTAGCTTACATTTAGACAGGTCCCCCCCATTTCTGTGTTTTGAGGACCCTTCGCAGGAAACGCCTGAAACACGTTTTGGGAGGAGGGGTCGTGCGACTGTCGTCTACCCGACGAGGGGGCGGGGGTGAAAGAGTGACTAGGGCGTACACGGTAGAGGTGCAGACCGCTAGTGTCTTTTATGCGCAGAGTCTTATCCTCTTAGCGTCTTGAGCCTTATGGCAGTCAAGCATGGACACACTAGATAGGCCACTGGAGTGGAACCTGTACAAGTAGGCCTCTACATTTCAGCAGGCACAAAATTCATGTCCACTCCTGCCTATTGCGTATGTCGCACATTATTTTTCTACCGCAAGGCTAAAACAGTCCAGCAAGCTCTAGTAAGCTTAAAAGGAAACCACGGTGCCCTGTACTTACCAATTCCAGTGTATTTCACACTTTATATAGAAAAGGTAATCTCTAGGTATACTAAATACAGTGAGGGAGCAATAGCTGACTCACCTCAAATACAAAGTCAAAGACAATGTATCTCGGCTGGAGACTGTATCGTTCACCGGCGAAGATACCATGTACCGGCGCTCAATAGCCCATAAATAGCCAGAGCTTAAAAGAAACTTAAATTCACGGGAAAGCGGCTTTCTTACACAGAGACCTGTAAAAGCAGTAAACGACACTCGCGTAACGAAGAACTAAAAATTCAAGACCGCACAAATTGCAACGAATTAAGATGCCTTGCAAAATGCAAGGAGCGTCAACTCTCGGTCCGAGGAATGTTCTTCTCTAAAAGTGGTCTCGGCCGCTTCCATACACAGGACTTAAATAAAAATGGAACTGCGTCAAAAGGACTCTTACTCTCATTGACACCAAAAACAAAA